TGGTGGACAGAGGAGGCTTTCCCTTGTCCGAGGCAGTGACTGTAATGTTGTACTGTGGGGTCTGCTCGCGGTCCAGGGGCCCATCTGTCAGCAGCTTGTAGTAGTTCCTGGAAGAAGATTCTAGTCTGAAAGGGGCATTTTCTTCTACGTGGCACGTGACCTCCCCATTGACGCCAGAATCCAGATCCTCTATTTTGAACAGGGCAATCACCGTTCCTTGCACAGCATCCTCTGCAATGGTGCTGGACACAGAAGTAAACGTCACTTCCGGCTGGTTGTCATTTTCATCTAGAATTTTAAGTATAACTTTGCATTCAGCAGCCATACCACCCCCGTCCCTTGCTCCTACACTCAGTATATAATTCTCAGTGTCTTCGAAGTCTAGATGCCCTTGAGTTCTAATTTCTCCATTTTTATGATCCAAGTAAAAGATGTTAAGGGCATTATCCGCTGTGGTTTTAAAGAAATAGGTGATTTCCGCATTGATTCCTTCATCCTTGTCGGTGGCCATTACCCTTAGCACTGAGGAGCCCGGGGGCAGGCTCTCTGGAAGACTGACTTTATAGAAGTCCTGGCTGAAGACTGGTGGATTATCATTCGCATCAGTGACATTGATCTTGATCTGAGCGGTGCCGCTTAGAACCGGGTTGCCTCCATCCACAGCCACCAGAACTAAGTGATGAGAACTCTGCTTTTCCCGGTCCAGAGGCTTCTCCATTACTAGCTCTGGATATTTCCTACCATCGGGGCTCTCCTTTACAACCATAGAGAAATGTTCATTAGGGCTAAGTTGGTAACTTTGCAGGGAATTGACACCCACATCTGGATCTACAGCAGATTCTAGCCCAAACCGAGAACCCTTGAGGGCCAATTCATTGATCTGTAAATTGATGATATTTTGAGGAAAATGAGGTGGATTGTCATTAATATCTTGTATGACCATGATTACATGAAAAACATTTAAGGGATTTTCAGCTACAGTTTCTAACGTCAGGGTACACACAGACTTCTGTCCGCACAAATGCTCCCTGTCTATTCTGTCGCTAACAAGTAATTCCCCGCTCTGAATGCTTACAGCAAAATGCTGCTTCTTTCCATTAACTCTCAGCTTCCGAGCCGGCAAGTCCCGCACATCCAGTCCCAGATCCTTGGCGAGATTCCCCACCACCGACCCTTTCTCCATTTCCTCAGGAATTGAGTAGCTGATGTGCTCAGAAAGCACCCGGCAGAACAAAGAAGCAAAGAAAGGATATAGTACTTGCCATCTCAGGACCTGACCCCGGGGTACTGCTTTCCTTCCCATATCTTTGGTTTCTGTGGCAAGATTAAGGCTTGGTCTCGAGAATCCGCCTTGTATATCTCCCTTAGTTCTTAAGAGTCCTCCAGGAACAGTATGCAGTGCCCTTAATCTGTGTTTTTGGTGAATCCGGGAGGTCTGGGACAGTATCGATGGAGCAGCAAGTCTAAATAGGTGCCGGGTATCCTGTGTGATGTGATCCTGTATGGCTCCGCAGGAAAACTACCCTGCAGTAAACCGGCTCCAGTTCTTTCTCGCTCGGTATTGGCCGACAGCGGCGCTCGGAGTCTAATCTAGCAAACTGCAAGAAGAAACTCATCTTCCAAATGTTTGATTAGAAATAGTATCCAGTCCCCTGAACAGAAGCAAGAGAATCTTCAAACTTTGTAACCGTGGAGTTGGTCGTTTTTGGCTGTCAGTTTTTCAGGTGATGAGAGTAAGTAATAAGTGATTTTCATAAAGAATAGAACAAATAGCAATGGGGGGGAAAGGTGTAGTTGTTAATTGAAAGACATCTTTCTATTTTATGTTATTAAAATACTTCCATATACTGAAAGAATATCACATTATTATGTATTTGGCATCGGTTACTGGGAAGTCATATAATATATAAATGAATAGTTTCCCCACCTGTTTAAAGGAATAATTTATTTATTACGTTGTTGTTGTTCAGTCATGTCTGACTCTTCCTGATGTCAATTTTGGGGTTTTCTTGGCAAAGATATTGGACAGCTTTGCCATTTCCTTTTCCAGTTCATTTTTTACAGATAAGAAACTAAGGCAAATAGGGTTAAATGATTTGTCCAGGGTCACACAACTAGTAAGTGTCTGAGGACAGATTTGAACTCATGGAGGTGAGTTTTCCTAATTCCAAGCCCAGTTTTGTATCCACTGAGCCACCTAGTTGCCCTTATTTAATACTACTAACAACATTTCAAAGAGTATCTTTCTTATGTTTAATATAAGCCCCTAAATGTAGCCTTCAAGTGCATCCTACAACTGCATATACCTCCCATTTCAATCAAATTTATACTTCATATTTTCTAAGATCTTTGCCCTACCTCTCCTATTTGTATAGGACCTAATAATAGTTTTCCGTGTTGGTCACAACAAATGCCTTCAATTATATAACAGCTCAGAGACAAGTCCTTTTTCATTAAAAAAATTCCTTAATTCCACCCAGTAGCAAGCAAAATCTCTTTCCATTTCTCCCTCAAATATTCTAGTATAGATTTTGTTCTTCCTCACTCCCTCCCTCTCCCTTCCATCTTTTCTCTTTCCCTTTCCCCCCCTCTATCTATATGTTTGTGACTTTTTCCTCCTCATTTGATTGGCATTGTCTTCAGCCCCACATTGCTACACATGCTACACATGCATTTATCCTGAATACTTTTCATTGACTTCTTTTAGTCTTATTGATACTTTTTATTTTTTAATATGGGGTTTATTTCTATTCTTCATTGACTTTCATCTAAGTCTAAAACAAGCAAAGTAAAATTTAAATCAAAAGCCACTGTTTCAGGAATTAATGGAAAGAATTCTATCCCACCATTCATGAACAGAGAGAATAGAGCCAGGGCAGAGGATGATATTGATTTATCTGTATATTGGAATTGGATCAATTTCTGAATTCACTAGATAATGATACACCTTTCTTCATGATAGCTTCTAGAAACCCGTTAGATTTTTCAAAACCACATGGAGATTTCAAGCTTCTTTCTGTTTTCACAATAACTGTGGTGAAGTGACAGAAATAGGGACAGAGAATACGAAGAATTATAGCTTTTGAGTTATTCATGAATACTAACTTGACTGTTAATACTTAAAATGTGGGGTTCTTTGTCCATTGACCAAAGAGTTGATTACTGTGAGAACTGAATTGAACCACTAATAATATTCTTGCCACTAATCAAAAATTGAAATTAAGTTGTGACTAAATGGAAAAATGTCTCAAGGATTCTTCTTGGAAAAGCAAATAAAGGAGTTTGAAAAGTAAGTTTCATCTTGAGTCCAAGGAAAGTTAGAAACATAATTTATCCCATCCTCTTGCAATGCTCCTTATGAGCATGAAAAAAAAGGACACCATGAAGATAATTGCTGTTTAAGTACCAATATTTGCCACCAAGAATGAAGACTCAGAGAAATTCTATGAAAAATTTCATTAGTTCCTCTACTAAGACCATTGTATATGCTCACATTCAATGACTTCAATACAACGGTGAGCACTGGAGAGGATGGAGGAAAAATTGAAAATCTATTTTATATTTATAAAATGAAAGATCAAAAGCTTGGAGGCCACTCAGAAGACTCATTCCCATAGATCATTAATATTTTTTCAGAGAGACAAAAGGAGCTGAACATGTTAAACATGAGCAACATTACAAAAATAAAATAGACAATGTATTTATAAAAGGTTACAGATGTAATACAGAAGTATCTGTATGCAATCAAACCACTGATTAGTTATGAAAAACGAAAATCAACATCAGATTAGGAGAAAGCATAATGATGAGGAAATGACCGCTTACAATCAGAAGAGCTTCAACTCAACCTATTACAAATAGCCATTTGTGCTCCCCACAATGGAAATAGAAAAAAAAGACAAAGATATTATCACTCTCTCCTGCAAAATTTAACTAACTCCCCACAACTGGGTGTCCTGAAGAATCTCCAAACTATCTAAGTCAGGATCCACTTGATCTCCTTGCCAAATGAAGAGAGATCCTCACAAAGGGCAACAATAATTTAAAATACAAATTGAATTGTAAAACACAATGGAGAGGGAGCATCAAGGGAAATGAGTCAGGGAAACACAGTGGAGAAGGATAGGAGAAGATGCCATAAAACTAAAAACTGTGAAGGGGAAAACTAACCTACAGAAAATTTGGCATGAATCCCAACTAAACTACATCACCTCAAGGACATTCACAGATGAAATGACAATGGATAGGCAGAAAATGGCATTGATTTTTCATCGCTTTTATAACTTTTATCATCAATAATTGTGAACTATCACATTTTTACTCCATCCATTCAGTCCTCAAAGGAAGAAAAATGGCACCTAAGAAGACACTTGAAGTCGAGTGGCTGAACCAGACCAAGCAGAAACAGAGGAAATCCCAAACAATTTGGTAGAGGCATCATTTTACAAGATATCTCAGGAAGGGAAAGATATAAAAAAATTGAAAAAAAAACTTTGCATGCCAATAATTACTAACTCAGATTTCTACTTTCTTATGTTCATAAAGTCTTTATGAATATGATATACATGAAAGGTATGGAAATATGAGATGTGAAAAAAAGGCTTTCCACAATATCATTTAGCATATTTTAATCAGAACATATTTTAATAATCACATATATACATGAATGGTGCACACAATACAAAGATCTCTCTCTCTCTGTCTCTCTCTCTCTGTATTTGTGTGTGTGTGTGTGTGTGTAAATTTTGTTCTACTGAGCCAAGAGCATTTGTTTCAGCAGAATAAAACTCAGCCTCAAAAATTTTCTTTCAACAAAGTGTCTCTCATTTGTATGCTAAGGTTTCTTGATAAAAGCAATCATTGATACAAAATAGGCTTGCTTTTAAAGATGCTCTGATTAAAAATGTCAAGAGATATATAATACAGGGAGAAATATATTTAACAAAGGTGTTTGTATGATCATGGAGGATATTCTGCACAAAATTCAAGAGGGAGAGAGATTCTCTACAGGTGCTGCTACTTGTAGATGATATTGTGCTGGATGCATCAAGTACCAGAACATCACTGGGACTTCTCAGTGAAATCTATAAGTACTCCAAAGAGAGAGGCTTAACAATCCATATGTAAATGGGTGGAAAAAAATGCCTCCTCTCCGACCCCCCCCCCCAGACTATGACATACAGTTTGAGGTAGAACATCAACACATTCACTGCAGATAGACAACGAGTTGGAAGAGAGAATGTTGAATTTCATTTAGGAAATAGAAAAGTCCTTTTAATGGCCTAAACTTCACCTTAGCACAAAAATCCATCTAAAAATAAACAAAAACCTTACAAATGTTCCTCACTGATGGTATATGTTTGTGAATTCTAGAAAACCATATGTACTGAAAAAAATTATGTTGTAGGTAACTTTTCACAAAAGTCAATGAAGAAACGTATGGTGGTTTCAAGTAGATAGAAGCAGAATTTCCAGTATTTCCTATATGCAAAACGTGGTGTAAGGCATACCATTCAGAAAATGTATAGTTGGATGTGAAGTGAGAATGAGGGATAAGAGATGGAAAATCTGAATGACAATCTGGTAAGCACAAAATGTAAAAAAAAAAAATCTAGAGAAAGACCTCTACCACATTGATTCTCATTGGAAAATCTTTGGAAAATATAGACACAAGTTGGACAAGATGAGACAAAAATGGTCTGCAATCAGTACTGACAGAGATTGTCCAAATAGATGATTTCACAGAAGCCATTAAAGTATATAAGATATAAAGTGGATTTTAGAAGATATGTTGTTTATTTGTCACTAAAATTTATTATTATAAGGCATCTTTGAGGCTTCCATAAAAAATAAAGATCTCTTTTTATCTCAAAAGAATCAGATTATCTCACTATGTATGCACAGGACTCAAAACAAATTTAGGAGTAAGAAACAGTAGGGAAAATTGACTACATAAGCTTGAAAACCCAAGTCAATAACAGATGAATCATTCAACTATTCAAAAAGACATTCCCTAAAGCAATACAGAGTCCAAATCTAACCAACAGTCATTAGTAAGGTCACATGGCTTCTGCAATAAGGAATCCCTATAAGGAACATGTAAATCAGCATGAAGCATTTAACCATTTTAAGGAGAGGGGTTGGATCTTCGATGTCATTGATATAGAGAATTCTCATTGAAGAAGCTCATTGTACTAATGCTGGACTGAAAGCTTCTTTGCAATTTATAGTTTTATAGAGAAGCCTAGAACACTGAGAGGTTAAATGACTTGGTCAGAATCGGGTAGTCCATATGTGTCAGAGATAGAACTTGAAACCTCATCTTTCTCCATCCACCACACTGCTATAAACTGCCATCTATGATAGGCTAAACTTTCAAACTGAATTCTGGACAACATTTCCACCCAAACAAATATCCCAAGTGTTAGTACTTTATCAAACAAACACACAAAATGCCAAGACCATTTATAAACAAAGGAAAAGAATCAATAGAAG